CCGAGGCCACAGGAGGGCGCAATGAGCAAAATAATGCAGCGCATAATGTCAACGCATGGAAATAGCTGTCTATAAAAAAACCTATAAATTAACTCATATAAATCAAATATAATTTCGTAAATTGCATAAACAATTATGAACAAAATAGTATCATGTATTTATGCATTGCTTAATACAAAGAGCCGAATTAAATTCGACTAATATAAATTTTTCTCCTCATCACAGGCAGGCACAGCACTCATTTCAGCATGTGTTTGTGTGTGCTGTCTGCGTCACTCATAGCACGTGCCTATATCGTGTACTATATCGAAAATTTGTTATATCGTCATCGAAGAAGGTGTACCGTCGATAAATATCGATACCGTTCTATCGCCCAGGCCTACGAACAAATATCTAATTTCTAATTTTTTATATGCAGATTAAATAGGTTTTAAGGAAACTTTTGTCTAGTCTCCCGAGGCCACAGGAGGGCGCAATGAGCAAAATAATGCAGCGCATAATGTCAACGCATGGAAATAGCTGTCTATAAAAAAACCTGCATTACGTCTAAATTAACTCATATAAATCAAATATAATTTCGTAAATTGCATAAACAATTATGAACAAAATAGTATCATGTATTTATACATTGCTTAATACAAAGAGCTGAATTAAATTAGACTAATATAAATTTTTCTCCTCATCACAGGCAGGCACAGCACTCATTTCAGCATGTGTTTGTGTGTGCTGTCTGCGTCACTCATAGCACGTGCCTATATCGTGTACTATATCGAAAATTTGTTATATCGTCATCGAAGAAGGTGTACCGTCGATAAATATCGATACCGTTCTATCGCCCAGGCCTACGTGAACATTTGGGTGGCGTTATGCAAATCTTCCCACATCATGACGTAGACATGTGGGGGCGTGTTAGATCGAGGCGTTTTAGGTAGGCGTGGCTGACTCTTAACTTTTATAAAGAATATCTCTTTGGATTTGAGACTTTAGTGTTTGCAACTTTACAGATCTTCTTTATGCACCAAGAGCTTGTAACACTCCAAAGAGAAAGGAAAAATTTAAATCACATCATATGACCCCTTTAAAGCTTTCAATGAATTAAAAAAAAAAAAAACTTTTGCGTGAGATAGACATTTAAAAAAAAATATGAGCCGTTATGTATAAAAATGGATTTTGAGTAAAATTATTAATGACTTTAAAACACTTAAGTCTCCTTATGTTACAGAATCTCTCACACACAAAAAACATACTAAAGGAACAAAAGCTTTTAATTTACACAAAACAATGCCGACTCTTGCTTTAGATTGTATAAAAAATAATAAAAAAATTCAATCTGTTATACATTCACTATGGACGTCTATTGAGCAAGACATTTCTGAGATTTAAAGCAGATGTTTAATTTCAGAAATATTTTTATATCATTATTTTTATAAAATATAATTTTTTATTATATTTATTATTTTAGAATGATTTCTTATTTTATATAATATATTTGTATATTTTATTTATATCATTTTATAATAATTACTCTGATAACACATGCATGTCAGCACGACAGCATGTCACAGATTGAACCTAAATGTTCCAAACTAAGAAATTTATGTGCACACCTATAGAGCTACAGGACATGCTACTACGATGACTGAAATATAATTACGCAGTCGACAGTTATTATTCATAATTTAACTATTATTCTTCTAGGTCAATCACACAAATTATAGGCAGTTCCCAGCATCCAACCCAGAGAACTGGTTTTACAGTTAAATCAAAACACATGGCATAAGAGCTGTCAGTACCGTTTCAACTTCACCTAAATATATGAATTATCATCTGAAGATAATGTAAATAAAATTCAATAATTTATGTCACTTCCTTTAAAATCTTTTATTTTCTTTTGTGTGTATGTGTGTGTGGGGGGGGGTCTATATTTTATTTACATTTTATTTAATGTTTTAGTAATTTAGTTTTTGTCATTTTTATTAATTGTTTTTGTCTATATATTTATTTTAATTTCAGTTTTTTGTTATTTTACACATCAAGTTAAACTAAATGAAAATGATAAATGTTGCATTGGCAACTAGCTGAAATAAAACAAGTGTAGCGTCTGGACCAATCAAACACAATATATATTTTGTTAGCTAGATTTAACAAATACTCTGTAACACCCCTCAGTTAACAAGCCATATGAGGACCTATGGACCCTTCCCCCCGAAAGGCGTAACACCCCCGGACCCTGGTAACCATGGCAAACCTGACACCAGATACGTTTACGACCTCATGGAATGTGACCAGGGAAAATGTCCCATAAGCAAGAGGCAAATGCACAGTAGAAATGGACTTTTCTACTAATTAATTCATAGGAACAAGATTCTCTGACTCAAAACTGGTTCTTTTCATCGACCCAAATTCAGCAAAGATCAACTGGAAACTTCAGATTGCATCAAGCCTCTCTTTCAGGCAGATGAGACATGCAAGTATCAAACTTAGCCTTATTGATTGATACATGAGGTATCATTTGCACCTTTTTACAAAAATTGTGTTTGAACTAAGAATCTGATGTTTCCCTTCAGGCTGGAGATCTGCTGAAAATGCAAATGGTTCTATAATTTCATTCCTTATTTCTCTTCTCTGTACTGAGTTAAGCTTTAACCCTTTCCTATACCAACTGTATGCATGTGTGTGTGTGTGTGTGTGTGTGTGTGTATGTGTATGTTAGACCAGTTTATGTGTTTATGTAGGATGTTAGACCAGTGTATGTGTTTATGTAGTGTTAGACTAGTTTAAGTGTTTATGTGATTAATAAAACCTTACTTGTATCACACTTGACGTGGTTCATTGTTTGCTCATAACTGAGTCACTTAATCATGCAGATTTATGCTACAAACTTTTGTAGAATTGTACAGTAAGGAAGTTATTTCCCTTAACCAGGAAATTAACGTTCTTAGAATTGACAAGACAGTTGACCCTGAGAGGTCAGCTAAATATCTACAGCGGATCTAAAATATTCATAATTAATTATAACTAGTTATGATTAATTATTCATATTTCCCATGTGCTGATTCGTTACATAAGTTTAAGGTTTTTGTTATTTAATTTTATTTCAGTAATTTATTTCAAGTTTTTTTTTTATGGTTTTAGTTAACCATAATAACCCTGCTTATTGCTAGTTGCACATATTCAAGCTCATATTCAATGAATCAGATTTGTGCCAAATATGAAAATGCACAAACGTGAATGATATTTCAGAGGCAAACATTTTCAGTTAATGATTTGCATTTCAGTCTCTTCATCACACAAATCTATACGATTTCAGAAGACATGAGATGTAGCACTTGGCTGAAAACAAAACTACTTTTATGATGCTTATATGGTGCATTTAGTCCTCTTGAGAGACTGACAGATCAACGCAAACTTTCACTTTATGGAAAAGAGCAGTGTGAGCATTTCAATTGCTTGGTTTATTACTAAAGAAATGCACATACGTCTGTGAATCCACATTTACCAAAGTTCACTGTACACCATTTATTGAACATCAGATGATAGTCAGTTTGACAAGAGATCATACAACACATTAGAAATTCTCCGGATCTTCCAGCTGTGGTTTTAAAGTAGGACTGAATTCAACATTTACATAAACAGATTTACATAAGCTCTCTGGTTCAAAAGGCTTGTCAGATCTCCAATGATATTTACATCTGTACATGAGAACGCAAACAGCATACAGGACAAAAAAAAAAAATGAAACAATCACATTCAGTTCAGAAGTTCACTGTCTCAAAGTTTCAATTGCATAGGTCATAAAAACTAAAAAGGTTAAATAAGTGAAGCATTTCAGGAGGTCTAAACCAAGCTAAGCATCCTGACTAGTAAAGAAAGGAAAACCAATCAAAAAACGGAGAGAAATAAGCCATGCGCAAATCATCTTTATGCACTGACGTGTGTGTGGTTGCAGTGACCTAGTAAAACAACAGCCTTTTATCGAACCATTTTAAACTGTTGAGTTTCCTCGCTGTCAAAATCTGCACAAGAGAGCGTCCGTCGCCTTATTAATACACAAGCGTCAATATAAATTTGTCAGCGATTGTACATATTTCATGAGACCTATTTTTCAAACAATGGCGCTTGTAGGGCTGAAATCAATATTTCAGAAATGAGATGTTTCATAACTTTGGCTTGTCATGGCGACGTGAATTATTAACTTAAGTGTAATGGGAAAATGCTGAAAGAGACACGTGCTGCTAATATGCGTGTGCAGAACAAGACTGACCCTATTTTGGTGGATTCCCCACCTAATATGCCATATTTAATGAGAAATCAAATCATCACTTACGTACAGGTTGCGTAAACTGAAACATTTCTGTCATTTACCAAATTTGAAAAAGATTCAGATAGTTTTCCATAATTTCTTTAAAAAAAATTTTATCACTAACCCCTCAATAAATGATTTTAATAGTGATCAGAAGTGAAGAAATGGAGATTTCAAATGCTGTCAATGGGGAGAGAAAAAAGATTTTAGGTGTAATTCAGTGTTGTTGTAGTTAATTAAAACTTAAAAATTGGATACCGTTTTTGGTAATTGAAATAAAATAAAATAAAATAATAAAGAAAAACAAACTTTAAAAAAAAAAAAAATGATATAGATATGTTTAAGTTTAGGTACTAAAATGACGAAAACTAAATCTGAAATTGAAATAAATTAAAGCCATTTAAACACACACACACACACACACACACATATATATATATATATAAAACAAATAAAATGGCAAGAGCTCAAAACTAAATTAATTAAAAAATAAACTAAAATCAAATAAAAGCTGAAAATATAAAAATAAAAGATAAAATTAATTAATATTTATTAATTTAAATAATATATAATAATTAAATTAAATTAACATTAAATTATATAAATATTACTAAAATTATACACTGGTGAAATCATGTGATAAATAATCAGATACTGTTGATTAAATCAAGCAAGATGTCATTTTCACATCGTGAGACCATAAAAACCGGTGATCTGATCACCAAAAAAATGTATGTGAATGCTGGGTATAAAAGTCTGAGACCACATTGAAAATCTGAGATTGAAACCTGGAAATATGTAAAAGATTTAGATAAAGATGACGTTTGTATTTTACTACGTAAGCACTGTGTGTGTGGCTGGATGTCAAATGAATGCGAGTAACTTACATAAGACTCTCTGTTCCTCTAAAACACTGACATACTGTTTTTTGGCAGGTCCATATAAAATTCTCTTTGTCCAGATTGTGCTCATTGGCTCCTTTCAGCACTTATTGCTTTTGAAAGCTCACGATGTGACATCACATCCTCCCTTTTTGCTTCCAATTCTTCTGTGTTTTCCTCCTCGGCCTGCCGTGTCTCGTTCAAATCAGTTTTTTCATCCTTTTTTCTCATTTCTGTCTCACTCTCGTCTTCTGTCTTGTTCATTTCCTCTTCCTGGTGTTCTTCTTTTAAACGCTCACCCTGGTGTTTTTCATTATCCTCTTTTTCTTTTGCTCGTTCCCTGAAAATATCAAGCAACCTGTCAAACTTGGGTCCCCACTCCTCAAATCGGTGTTTCTGTCCCTCTGTATCTTTTTCGGCCTCGCTTTCGAGCGAGCTGAGAGACGTGGCCTGTGAGCCGCCCCCCTCCAATCCGTATGTCTGCAGCGAGTCATATGGCGGCTGCATGGGGTCAAAGGTCACCAGGTCTAGACGGTGTTGCAGGAAATCACCCATTTGGTTTGTCAATGAATCTGCGCCAGCCTTTTCAGAGTTCGCATGGCCAACGTTCCCATTCCCCAAGCCCCACCCCCTTTCATACAGCCCCGCCCCTCCTGGGAGGGGCATCACTATGTGTGGCACATAGTTCTGCCCACCCACCCCATACAAGCCCATTAGTCCGGCAGCTTCTGGGCAAAGAAGCGTCGTCCCGGTCAAAGGTATGCCTCCGCCGCCCCTTACCAAAGTACCTTCCATCGTTCTAAACGGCATCTCCGTCGTGCCCAGGCTAGATGTGCTCTGACTGGTGCTGATGAGTGGAACGTCCCCATTCTTGTCCAAAGCCAAGGCGGGGGTGGAGTCATCTGTGGTGATGGTGGAAATGGAGGCTCGTGTGGTCAAGCAGTGAGGGGACGACTCAGGTTTATGGCTCACAGAAGTGTTGGAGGCCTCTGAGCAGGAACCGCTCTGACTAGAGCCCTTCACGAACAGAACCTGATCCGAATGCACAGACTGAGAGAAAACAGTGAGGAACATGGTCAGGCTGTTTAATAGCTCAATAATTATATATACACTAGCGTTCAAAAGTTTGGGGTTGTGAAGTTTTTTGTTTTGTTTTTGAATGAAGTCTCTTATGCTCACCAAGGCTGCATTTATTTGATCAAAATACAGTAAAAACTGTAATATTGTGAAATATTATTACCATTTCAAAAAATTGTTTGCTATTTGAATATCATTTAAAATGTAATTTATTCCTGTGATGCAAAGCTGAATTTTCAGCATCATTACTCCAGTCTTCAACATTTCTGATTATTATCAGTGTTGAAAACAGTTGTGCTACCTAATATTTTTGTGGAAACCGTGACATTTCTTGTACATGGTAAAAAAAAATTCAGGATTCTTTGATGAAAAGAAAGTAAAAAAATATATAATAATTTATTTGAAATAGAAATCTTTTGCAACATTATAAATGCTGTTGCCATAACTTTTGATCCTTGTTAAACAAAAAAACTTAAAAAAATATATATATATCATACTGACCCCAAACTTTTGAACAGTAGTGTACATCACTGGAAGCTCTGGGACCTCAAATTTAAAGACAAAGTAAAGATTTTTAACATAACATAAAGATTTAAACATTCTATGATAAGAGAGTGCAGGTTGTCCCATTAATTTCCTCCATAGGCATTTCAAAAAATTATTAAATAGCCCTACAGTTTAAAGCAAAGGAAATATTTTAAATCAAACTACTTATCCTAAGAAGCGATGTGCACAATACAATCAAATATATATATATGAATACATGTATTTGTTTAGTAATTTATTATAACTGTAAAGCAATCTATTTTATGGCTATTGCAAAATATTCTGATAAATACAAATATAAATATTTTGAGATTATAGGAAACGGACTCACTATTGGCCACTAATGAGCTCATTTGCTACAATTTTCGTTTACATATATAGTAACATCAACTTTTGTGATTGTTGGATCTTTTTTGGAAACTAAGTTGAAATCACACTGATTTGTGGCTTTAAAGGAAGCACATCTCATCGCTTTAGATAAGTTTATAAATTGTCTATATAAAAAAATATTTGTTTTGACAATAAATGGTATTTTTACTCCCAGAATCCTGCTGTTGCACTCTATAAGATTGTAATGTGATAAATATTAGTAGTTTACCTGATCCTGGCTGAGCGTGTGGCTCTCAGAGATGACCTCACTTCCTGTCTCGCTCTCTTTTGGAATGCTGTCGGTGGATCCGTCCGCTCTTTTCTGTTCTGATCCATCCCTGCTCTTGCCGATAAATACAGAACCGGATTCTAAAGGGCCGCCGGCCTGGCCTTGGCTGCCAGGAAGAACGTACGCCAGTTTGGCGAGGTCCAGCCTGGAGTTGAACGGGCCAAGTCTGTTTCTCGAAGCTGGAAGGGTCTGGATGCTGTAGCAGTATCGTCCGTAGAGGGGTGCAGAGACGGGACGGAGTGGGTCCAAACCCAAACTCTGACTCCAACTGAAGGTTCTGATGCTGTCCAAGTCATCCTGAGAATAACTGTTATAATAAAATAGAAATTAGGAAATTGATCAATTTGTTTAATGGTTAAATATAGAAGCCTATTGCAGCCACATAAGAAAAGAAAATCATGCTTTGGTTAACTACGATTATTAAGTCGAAAATATTACATAAAAATTCAAAATTATGAGATAAAATATCACATTTTAAACTCATAATTATGACTTAGTATGTCATAATTTTGATATTTTGCTCAAATTATTACATAGTTTGTCAAAATCTCAACTTAGTATCTCATAACTTCTCATATATATATATATTTATATATATAAATATATATTATCTCATAGTTACAACTTTTTCCTCAATTATTACTTAAGCATGCCATAATTTCAACTTTTACCACATAATTATGACTTAATATCTCAATTTCGACATTTTATAATTATAATTTTATAAATTATAATTTATAATATTTATAATTATGACTTAGTGTCTCATATTTTTAACTTGTCATAATTATAACATTTTGTCAAAATTGCAACTTTTTAATCTAAAAAATTATGACTTGGCATCTTACAATTTTGACTGTCATAATTATCTGTTGACTTTTTATGCCATAAATATGACCTTTTTATGCCATAATTATGATTTACAATGCATGATTTTTTTTTCTTTTGTGTCAGAAATGAGCTTCCATAGTTATGCCCTTGAGATAGTGATGCAAATATTGCATAAAGCTTCTTTTTAATTGCGCGGATCCAAGCATTTAATTTAGCTTTTAAAGGAATTGCTTGCAACTTTTGAAACAATAGCAGATAAACCAGATACTTCGAAGTTATCAGAAAAGTTGTTTAATTAAAAGATGTGTTGTAGTCCCAGTGGAAACTCCCGATGCAACGATTCAAAAACTGTCAGTTGCATCTTTAAAAATAGTCGCGTGTGAAGTATTTCACCAACCTGCCCAGGAATATTACAATGACATAAAAAAGGAATATGATGGATAGAGGGCTAGAACACAGAGTTGGTTTGAACGGCATAAATATTAACTAGATGAACGTTGCACTGAAGCATCTGTCAGATTTGCATTGTGAAGCCTCATTTAAACCGCACACACTCCTGAGTACAGAGCCCTCATTAATCAGATATACATTTAACATCACTTAACATGACTGAATGCATTTAGAGCAACCAAGTTTGTGAAGATACACCAGTTTGTGTTTGTGGTGAATGTCAGCTTATATTCAAGCTGAATGATTCACATGGGCTATTAATATAATATGGTATTTTCTAAGCCAAATGTCAAGAAATGACATGTGATTTGAAAGATCAGATAGTGGCAGCAATAAATCTGGGAGATTCAAATGATGAAATGAGATGTCTATTTATATGAACATCAAAGTCATTGTAAACACACACACACACTCACATATTCTTGCTGTCCTGAAGCCGCTGTGCTCTGTGCATGGTCTGGGGGGCGCTCTTCAGGGTCGCGATATCGAAAGCGGCCGTATCCGCTTCGCCTCCTCCCTCATCATCATACGTGATGATGTTCTCCCTGATCTCATCATCCTCCACTGGAGACTGCGTGTCCCGTTTCTGCCTTCGCAACAATAGTGAGAGCGCTGCCACTACTATCAGGCAGAAGAGAGTCAGAGAAAATGACAGGAAGTTATTGCCACATTTCATGAATAAGGTACAAAATAGACAAATTCTTGTTTTCCGCTAAATAATCAATGAAAAGAGGTGCTTGACCTTCAGAAATTATCTTGACATTTGATGTGTTTAAAACTACTTCTCTTGCTAGGCTGGTTTCATATTAAGTGAAGTGAAGTGTAGCCGAGTATGGAGTCCCATACTCTGAATTTGTGCTATGCATTTATCCCATCCAAGTGCACACACGCACACAAAGGTTTGTTTTTGTGAAAAGTGGGGACATCCAATAGGCGTAATGGTTTTTATACGGTACAAACTGTATGTGCTATTGCCCTACACCTAAACCTACCCCTTACAGGAAACTTTGTGCTATTTCAGATTTTCAATACACTCCATTCTGTGTGATTTTTATCCGTTTTGAAATGTGGGGACATGGGTTAATGTCCTGAAAAGTCACCTTCTCCTTGTAATACCTATGTCATATCTTTGTCATTATACAAATGTATGTCTTCATTTGTCACAAAAACGCACGCGCGCGCGCGCACACACACACACACACACACACAGCAGTGAGTATAGTAAACAAACACTATACTGTATATAGCAGTTCATTAGTTTTCACAAAAAAAGTGTGCAATTGGAAATGTTTCTCTCATTCATTTTTTGTACATAAAATAAGTTTAATAACAAAAATTATTTAAATAGTGAAAGAAGGAAACATTGCTATATAGTAAAACACTGTACCACAATGGAAAGTGATCCAAAAACAATTTTCTTATTAACTCTTCTTAATATTTAAATATAATTTCTTTAATCAAATTGAAAACTAAAATGAAATTAATCATCATTAAGGTTTTTTCAATATTTTTGCTAAAAGCATAAACCTTCAATCTTCTAAAGAAAAACTGCAACTAGTGTAACATATGTCTGTTAAAAAAAATTTGGAAAGTTTTAAAAAGGTGATAAACATCTCAATATGGCAACATTTTAACACTTTACTGCAATGGAACATGGTCCAAAAACGTCTTTCTTAAAAATGATTCCAAATGATTCAGAATTTGGAACTGAAACTACAATATAGTGAATTATTATTAAGGTTTCTTCAATGGTCTTCAATAAAGCTTTTTTTTATGTTCATTTTTGTCTGGAAAGACAACAAAATACAAATGATAATTGTGTTGCTTTTTGCAGAAATGCAATTATATCATGGTAAACACTTCCAAGAAAATGTAATAATAGAACTAAGGCCAATATCTATCAAATTCCCAGTGCCCATGAAAGGGTGACTTCAAAAAGTTTAAAGGGGGATTTAAAGGTTATGTGGCTTTAAAACAGTATGTATTTGTTTACTTAAAGACTGCCCTTTTATTTCCGGCAATCCATTATGTTGCATGTGAAACAGTGAGGGAAATTATATGCTGCCATATGGCTACACTATAACACACCAAAGTGTTTTTGTAGAAAATGCCTATTCCACCTCTCACTTACTGCACTAGCTGCCTTATTTAGTAAAGTTTGAGTGTTCAATGTCATTTGGGGAACCTTGAGGGTGGGAAAAGGTTGTTCCGCAATCTCAAAATGCCATACGATGCCCTCAGCACTCATCAAATGCTGTTTATTATGAGTGACTTGAAATGCAGAAATGAAACCCAAACACGTTCATTAGCAAAGCCAACTGACAAACGGAGGAGAAACAACGAGGCAGGTTGGTGGAAAGTTCGAACGACCAACAAAAACACATGGAAGAAAAGCTGCAATTTCAAGACAAGCCAGGAGGCAATGGTGGACGAAGACAGGGAGTGATGGACAGATGTAGCAACAACACATCATTAGACCAGATGGGTACAGAGGCGGAGCGAAGGGGGAAGAGAGTAGCAATCACAAAACCTGGTGAAATGGACTGAAAATCAGAACTGACCCAGAAGAGTTGACACACAGGCCAGGATGGCCAACATAGCGGCCGAGCTGACACCCAGCAGTGGGGAGTTTGACGGTAAAGGCAAACACGCCGCCTGCCTCTCCCAGTCCAGCACAGACACTTTATCCTTCTCGTCCGTTTGTTGTTTTTGTTCTTCTGCCCACATGCCTCCGTTTTGGCACGGACATACCGTAACGGTAATCGTTCCTGTGCTGCTGAGGTCTGATGCACCGTCACGAAGCATTATGGGTATTTTTAGAGTAAGTAAAGAGGAAGAGCGAGGAAAAGTCTTCAGGGACGACAAGAGCACCAGACTCGCCGTGTGGTCTGGAAGCAAAAGAAATGAATAACAAACAGCCATTAGACATTTGACACATTATGAACGAAAATATTTTTTTAATGAAATAAATATGACTGCGTCCTCTAGGGGTCGCTATGGGGAACGCCTCGTCATGATCCATGTCTGAAGCATACATTCAAAAACACCAACAACACGTTGGCCGGCGACAGTCCATGACGTTACTACCGGTGCAACTATAGTATAAATAGGCGCCGGGAGAACACGTCATCCTTTTCTTCATCTTCACTGACTGTTTTGTTTGAAGCTATACGCTGTATTAACAAAAACATTAATGGCATAAATAAAAACACTAACACTGACAAGCTACACAATATTGCGTTCATAATCGAATGTGACTCGTCTGCGATTATGAACACGACATAGCAGTGATCTACGGCTCTATTTAGGGGATGTGTATATCCGTGTCGTCGTTATTTGACACCTGATGACACACACGATCTCTGCGTTTTTTGTTTGGGCGTAGAGCACGGACGCGATGTCCTCGAGGGGGCAATCTGCGTTCACTGCGAGCATTTTCCAATGAAAAATTTCCGCTCTTGTTTGTCTCTCTTGTCGAGGAAAGAGGGGCAGCTATCTGCTCCCCGTGGTTCAGGACCCGCCACTGCTGAGGCACGAAGGAAAATGAGCTCGTGGGGATCGCAGGTGGATCTGGCCGATGAGTTTGAAGAGGGGCTTTTCCCTCCTGCGGCTCGTCGGCTCTGGATGAGAGTGAGCCGCTGGAGGATGATGTTATTTCATTAACATCGTCTGATCCAGGGGCCAGTGCTCTGCTGGGTTCGGCCCAGGAGGAATCGTGGGTCAAAGGGATGTAGGCAAGACCTAAGGGATGTGATCCAGACAAGGCGTCAGCGCTTTCATCCGGATCAGAGTGATACTTCAGTATCTACTAATTTCCTTTGGGGGGTTTTACATCTGCCCTTATCTTCCCTTTCCTAATTCCCCTAAAACTACCATCTCATCACCTGACCGAGGTTAGGTAGGAATTTCCTGCATTACAGTCTCCTATGCTGGACCTATGATGTTTGGTTGGTTCAATGGCTTCATAGTGACCACCTTACTTATGGTCCGGACTAGAGGCTTCTTTGGGTCGCTTCTTGAATGGAGCTCCTATACTGTCTAGAGTGCGTGGAATGGTGCGCTGTGATTTACTGTCTAGAGTGTGTGGAATGGTACGCTGTGATTTACTGTTTACAGTGCGTGGAATGGTGCGCTGTGATTTACTGTTTACAGTGCGCGGAATGGTGCGCTGTGATTGGTTGAGCGGATATATCGCATTCTGCAGAAAAGGGAGACTGGCGTTTGTCGCGGTTTGGAAAAAAGGGAGAAAACATGACAGAATAACTCGGCGGATATCGCATTTTGCGTAAAATTAAAAATTGACTTTTCAATATCGACCAGATAAAATACAGATTTTGGCGGAAACTCAATAAAAAAAAAAAAAGGTGTTTATCGCGTTTTGGAACCAAACTCTAAATTTTGTACTTATCACATTTAATTTATAATAGATACATTTTCCAATATAATATAATATATATTATAATATAAATATATTTTCTAATATAGATGCTATATTCCCAGGAATCAGATCATTTAATCTAATAAATATAAAGTATAATAAATATCATATTTTATATACATTTAAAATTATATATATAACCCAAAAATATGTTTTATTTATTATACAACAATAATATATATAGAACTGTTACATTAAAAATGAAAGTTATAATTATTTATTAAAATTATAATTTTGTATAATATATAATACAGATGTTTTCCTAACTCTTTCTAGTTTCTCTTTTTGTGTTCCACGGCAAAAATAACAGCTTACGGGTTTAGCCAGACATGAATGATGAATACATTTTAATTTTGGGGTGAGCCATTCCTTAAAGCAAATTAGAAATCAGCAGATTGAAGCGGCGAACAGGACAAATGAGCTAAATGAAAGAACGGATTGCTGGAGCACAGAGAAGGGAGTTTGCCGTGTGCACTGGTGTAGAATGTGACAAAAAAGATAAATGGATGAGTCTAATGAAGGAGGATATATGTCTGGACAGAGACCGGGAGGGAGATGAGGAAGACTGATGGGCAAGAAAAGACGGATGGATGACAGGAGAAGCGAGCACACCTCCCCGCTCTCTGATGGAGAAGTTGAGAGCACTGCTGGACTCTGCAGGAATACTGAAGTGGATGGGAGAGTTGTAGCTGCTTTGGTCTTTATCCATCGCTCGAATCACCTGCACCACCTGATACGCAAATGGAGAAAGACTGATAAAGTGATTTGCACAAATAAGTCTGTTTTTGCCACTGAACAGCTAAAGGATTAGCAGTCTAACACACCACGCCATGTTTGGGTTGACTCACTGTGCACTGCGTCAATAACTATATCAGTCGCTTATAGAAATGCGCTTTTCTGAAATGCATTTGGTAAACAAATCTCTTTTACAGCGTAGCATGCAGGTTCACTTTTCCCTCAGAAATGCAGAAAGTATTATATTTGTTCGGTCAGCTGATCACTATTGTAAAATAAACCCTGACAGGGTGATCAGAATTAGGTGAAGGGATTTATTTTGCAAAAATGTCCAGCTGACTGCACAGAATTCTACTTATTATATGGTTACTTGCCACATAAACATTCAAAAGACATGCAATCATGATGTGACAGTAAATGATTTTAATATGCAACAGCTATTGTAGGAAATCGGCTATTAATTATGCAATAATACTTTATTGCAGAATGCTGCTATTGATCAATCAGAATTAAGCAACTCAGATTTGTTTATTCCTGAAGAATTATTTATTCCACTGGTGTCTTTTATTAAATTGCATTTGCCAATATGACAAGAGATGACATGCATTAGTAATTTTACTGTGGTTAAGGGGTGTTGTTAAACATACAAACTAAAGATAAAATACACCAATGTGCAAAAATATTATTATTATTAATAATATTCACAAATACTCAAGAGGTATACTTCTGTTTATTTTTTTTTAATTCTTGTTTTTATTATCATTTTTTAAATCTTTTTATTTTATATTATATAATATAACATTTTATATTATATATATTTTATATTGAATTTGATATATTTTATTTTAACTTAAAATTGTATTTTAATATTTTAATGCTGCTATTGACCAGTCAGAATCAAGCATCACAGATAGTCATTTGTATTACTTGAAAGAAGAACCATTTATTGCAATTTATTGAACACTGATGTATTTTTTATCATATTGCTTTTGCCACCATTTTCTAAAGCCAATATGACAAGAGACAACATGCATTATTAATATCTATCTATCTATCTATCTATCTATCTATGTTCAGTTATCTTTTTTATTTTATATTTAATTTTATATATTTTTATATAATTTTATTTTAATTTTCTGTCTGGTTGTCTTTCACTGTCTTTCACTGTGGATGCTTCTTGGCCACAATAATCTTTTAAAGCGGACCACGCTGCATCATTTACAGACTCATTCCATTACAGCCTTCAAAGGGTCAAAGATCACTGACCTGTCCAGCAGCACTGGAGTCACACACGGCCGTGTTGTATTGTCGGTCCAGCTCGGGGGCATTGTCATTGAGGTCCAGCGTATCCCTTTCTCTTCCATTTCTGTTCGTGTGTGTTTCTGCCATGACCTTTCATGTCCACGGCCGCCACAGAAGTAATAGCCTTCCTGTGGGCCGATTACATGCTGCTACCTGTGTGAAATTGTCAGGCGCTCAGAACTGATGTGATGTGCCTTTAAGAGCGGCGGCGGTGCAGAGGAGTTCTGGTACCTCTCTGTGTGGCGATGACGGTAATGTTATGCCATTGCTCCTGTTCCCGATCCAATTCCACGGTGGTGGTGATGAGGCCATTGTCAGAGGCGATACGGAACAGCGCCTCGGGGTCCGACTCGGGATCAACTGAGTACCTGAGAAGAAATGGACAGGAATAAAAGGAGGAGGGCAGACAGATTAGAAGACATAAAGGAGCCAGTCCATCAATAACCCAGTTAAGCAAGTGAAACGGAGCAGGTTTAATAAAAACAGCCCACATGCTTCCTGTGGCAGACAGAAACATGAAGCAATATGAGTCAGTAAATATCACAGACAGACACAGACAGACACAGACATAGATATTTTGATTCAGCTAAAAGGTGGAATCTCTTCTCTATCCTGTCCTTCGGATGAGACGTTAAACCGAGGTCCTGACTCTCTGTGGTCATTAAAAATCCCAGGATGTCTTTCGAAAAGAATAGAGGTGTGACCTCGGCATCCTGGCCAAATTTGCCCATTTGACCATCATGGCCTCCTAACAATCCCCATATTTACTGATTGGCTTCATCGTTGTGAACATACTGTATAACAATGCCTTTAGGTTCACTGTCAAAAATGCCAGTGTGAACACTCAGCGGACCAGGAGCAAATGTATCATTTTCTTTTTTTGGTCCGGACCAAAAGAACCAAGAGAACCGGACTACAAGTGTGAACACCCTAAGTGATTTTGGGTGGTTGCCAGGGTGTTTGCTATGCAGCTGTTTTTTGAGGGTTTTTAACACATTGACATGTGGTTGCCAGGGTGTTGATATGTGGTTGCTGGAGTGTTCAGAGTATTTGCTAGGACATTTTTAGTGCACTATGTGGTTGCCAGGGTGTTCTGAACCCGCTCATTCATTCACAATTATGGGTTTTTCACTGTTAAGGCAAACAACAGTTTTGAGTCAGATACAGCATAAAATTGGATTCGGTTTTGATTTAGGAATGTATGGATGAAAAAATTACTGTAGGTATTTCCATTTCTTCACTCCCACCTTGTTTAAGAAAATCACAGCCTCTTGGTTCAATCCAGTTATGTTAAAGGTGTCCCCTGCCTCTCCGTCCACGATCATAAAGTCCATCCGAGCGTTTTCACCCAGGTCTGCATCTGTTGCCGAGAGACGACCGATCTCCACCCCGGGGATGGCCAATTCAGAGACTGAAAATGACCACATACCTGCAGGAAACAGGGATGGTAAATAATCAGGCAAAAACACAGCCATAACATAAAATTAGAACATCATCATTGATCTCATTCCATGAGATTACGGCATCCGTACAAACCCCCTACAGCCTTTTCAAATCAGTTTGACCTGTATACTAAACTAGACTTTCATAAAAAACACTGCAAAGGAAGTCAAGCCTTGCCTTTTGTTCTTAAAGACAGTTTTGTTTTGCAGTTATAAGACCGGATAATAACTGGCTCTTCTGTCTTTGTGTGCGGCGGCTATATCGCGGGCCAAAAATACAATTCTAAAAAGAGAAAACCTGCCTCAGACTGTTTAAACCTAATTAGAGACAGCAAATAACGCAGGCAATCAACTGCATTCCATAAGAGAATGAAAAGTGTTTCTCATCTCATGAGAGACGCGCATCAGATCTTATACCATGATCAATCACGATAACAGAAACAAATGTGTTGCCAAAGAGTTCTGAGTGGTTCTCAGTTAACTTTTATGTGGTTTCTAGGGTGGTTGCTTAATGAATCAAGTCAAAACAGTGATATTCCGGTCCATAAATACAGTTCAGGTGTTGCTGCAATGTAAGTCTATGATTTTTTTCATCCCTTTTATCATCCATAAGGCACGTCTGAAAGATTTCAAAAGTAACAGCACACCTGTCCTAAACAAAACATGTGATTTAAGGAATCATTCATGTTTGTACCACACCTAGTTTAGATTAATTAATTTTATTAGATTTTTATTGGACAATCCCTCATTTTAAATATGAGTAATAGTAACTGTGATATAAGCACCTATCTTCAATAGAAGATATATAGACAGAGAAAGGACGGACAGACGGACAGACAGATGGAAGGACAGACAGACGGAAGGACAGACAGATAGACAGACAGACAGATAGATAGATAGACAGATGGAAGGACAGACAGACAGACAGATGGAAGGACAGACAGACAGACAGACAGACAGACAGACAGACAGACAGACAGACAGACAGACAGACAGACAGACAGATAGATAGATAGATAGATAGATAGATAGATAGATAGATAGATAGATAGATAGATAGATAGATAGATAGATAGATAGATAGATAGATAGATAGATAGATAGAGAAAAAAAGAACGTTAGAACGACAGACAGACAGGCAGACAGATAGATAGATAGAGAAAAAGAAAGTTAGAACGACAGACAGACAGATAGAGAAAAAAAGAACGTTAGAACGACAGACAGACAGACAAACAGATAGACAGATAGATAGCTAGAGAAAAAAAGAACGTTAGAACGACAGACAGACAGATAGATAGATAGAGAAAAAAAAGAATGTTAGAATGACAGACAGACAGACAGATAGACAGATAGATAGATAGATATAGAGAAAACAAAGAACGCTAGAACGACAGAGAGAGACAGATAGACAGATAGATAGATATAGAGAAAAAAAGAACGTTAGAACGACAGACAGACAGATAGACAGATAGATAGATAGATATAGAGAGAAAAAAAGAATGTTAGAACGACAGACAGACAGACAGACAGACAGATAGATAGACATTTTAGAAATAGAATGTTTGATGAACATCACTACAGTATCGCTGCAAAAACACAAATTATTAATTCTGCAAATTCCAAACATGCTATTGGAAGAGGATAGCAGAGAGACTGGGTAAGAAAGATCCAAAAAGAGAGTGTGATAGAAATATAAAGCAGGACACTGATGATTCCTTGCTATTTTTAAGAGCCAAATTTGCTCCAGAACAAAAAAAAAAGATTCATGCAAACAACAAAGGCTGAGACAGTGTGATTCACCAGAGGCAGTTTGTGCCAGCTAATAACTCCTAACATGCATTAAAGCTGAGTGCAGCCAAGAGAAGATGATCACAGAAACACACTGTGGGATTACAATATGGCTTCTTTGCACAGTGTATTAACACTGTGTATTATTCAGAGGAGGAGAAAGGGATGAGGAGAGATTAGGGGAGAGATAGAAAGAACAAAAGAGGAAACGGCAACAGGAGACCCAGGAAACGAAAGGGAAAAGAGGCAGAGAGAATGAAAGACAGAGAAGCAGAGAGTGTGTATTCATGTAGGAGGGAGGGAAGGAGAGGGTGGAAGATGTATTGTGTGTCTCCGAGCTGTATTTTTCAGCTGTGATTTTGCTACGTACTGACGCAGAAAGCTCTGAACTTTAAATGAAATATTAATCGCGTGGATTTTGAAGAGAGGATCTGTAGGGACGCACTCTACAGACAGGCCGAAGCCCTCTGAAAGAGATGCAACACAGATCATTATCATCTCTGGCACGGTGATAATAGTCGCCAGAATCATCAGCACTATAATCTACTTCATAATTATGATATGCACTACGATACTGTAGTCCTTCCTCTGACGGCCTACAAGAGTCAATCTTTGTAGCGTTCACCATTAAATGATCATTGTCGTGTTTGGAATAAATATCGCTAATTATTAGCTATGGGTCCCTGCAGCAGTTTTTAAACACTGTTTAAGTGTACTTTGTAGGGCACTTGACTAGTCCCACGGAAGAATTGCAATAATATTTCACAGTATTACTGATTTTACTGTATTTTTGATCAAATAAACAGCCGAAATTTCGGTGCATCTCTAATTATTGGCGACATCAGAAATGGATATTTATATAATATCCATATATATATATATGCTTTTTTGAACATTTTAGCAATTTAAAAATATTAAAAAAGGATTTTTTACACGGCACCCCGGTTGGGAAACACTGCTTTAGATTATTAAAAAAGTTCTTCACACTAAGAAACCATTCTTTTAATAGTTCACACGAAAATGAAGATTTGCTGTAAATGTACTCACCCTCATGCTATCCAAGATGCAGATGAATTTGTTTCTTCACCGGAACAGATTTGGAGAAATTTTGCATTACATCACTTGCTCACCAACAGATCCTCTGCAGTGAATGGGTGCCGTCAGAATGAGAGTCCAACTAGCTGAGAAAAACATCACAATCATCCACAAGTAATCCACACCACTCCAGTCCATCAAAGAGAAAAGCTGCATGTTTGTAAGAAACAATCCATCAAGACGCTTTTAACTTCAAACCGTTGCTTCTGGCTAAAATATCCAGAGTCCTATATCCATAATATTGCTTTCTCCGGTGAAAGTCATGTCTTCTGAATCGGGAGAGAAATATGCACAGATCAAGCACCGTTTACAAGCGAAAACAGTCCAAATTCGAAACAAAATATCAGTGGATTTTGATGTGAGAGAACAACAGTGGATAGGCTTTTCCACTGGAGGAAGCGTGATTATGAATTATGGATTTCGTCCAGAAGCGACAGTTTTTAAAGTTAAAACATCTTAATGATGGATTTGTTTCTTTTAAAAAAACACGCAGCTTTTCGATTCACAAGATGTTAACTGATGGACTGGAGTGGTGTGGATTATTGTGATGTTTTATCAGCTGTTTGGACTCTCATTCTGACGGCACCCATTCCCTACAGAGGATCCATTGGTGAGCAAGTGATGTAATATTTAATTTCCCCAAATCTGTTCCGATGAAGAAACAAACTCATCTACATCTCGGCTGGCCTGAGGGTGAGTAAATGTTCAGCAAATTTTAAATTCTGTGTGAACTATTCCTTTAAGAACTGTTCACTGAAATTTTCTTCTATGACAGCGCTGTGAAAACCCCCTTTAGAAACCATTATTTTTAAGAGTGTACACTAGTCTAAAAGCTAACAAACACACTCTAAAAGCCACAAAACTCCAATTTTGATTTCACTGGGTCCCCAAGAGGAGAAAAAGTCTTTTCGGCATCTTTGTTGTTGCAAACAATGCTGCATCTTTCCTTGTTTCTGACTAACGAGGCGAAAAACAAGCAAGCGAGCGGCGCTCCGGAACCAAACCCGGCAATTCCAACAAACACGAGCATTCTAATCTTTTCTGTAAACTTCAGAAAGTTCAACTTTCAAAAATCCGGGAATCACTCACAAACAATACAGGAAAACAGTTTGTTGGCATCTGTGTCTCTTTATCAGCATCATAAGGTGTGGTTTACATGCATTCGACTGGAATTCACTTTTTTTTTCTTTTTGCAGCTGTTTTACAGAAGCTCGGTCGAGTCTGAGCAGTTCTGGATGGTGATTTACATCGCCGAAATGAGTTGTCTAACTCAGAGGGCCACAGTGAGTTACGAGTCCCAGGCTCACGCCAACTCACCGGACCTCTCTTGCTCAGAGGTGACTCAAGCGAATGGCTTCGGGCTTTGTTTACTCACTCACACATGCATTTATTAAAGCCGACAGATATGGACTGACAGAAACCCATAAGCCTTATCAAATCCACAGTCACTCACACTCACCTCTCAAACTTTGATATCTCACACACACAGCACATACTGCAACCATCTTATCTTCATAGACATCATCAAACATTTCATACACACATACACAGTTGCTCCCTACGCCCAAGAAACCAAACCACACTTTCATATCTCTCCTTCAAACATGGCACAGAGGTTTTTAGCACTTCGAGAGAGACGCAGAAAATGAAAGCAGTCACGGGTCAGCGGGCGCAGGGCTTGTTTGAGAGATTCAGTGACGCTTTTTACAACGCTGTGAATCGGCTCCTGTTGAGATTCGGGACTCGATCCACACCAGGACACGACATCCTTAACACATCGGCTGGACCTGGAAATAAAGCATAGTGTCCTGAGAGACTCACAGGATGTAAGGTTAAGATGCTCAGTGAGTTGTTTGTTCGCTCTGTGATCACTGATCCTGTAGAGTGCTGAATCGCTGAAGAGGATCAATGTACAATCACTGTAAAGTAGTGTTTTCCAGTCCTGGCCCAACACTACCCAATTTGGATGGCTTCCTAAACTAAAGAGGCTACAAGACCAGAATTAACCATTTAAAGCAAGTCAGTTTATCCGGGGACCATATTTTCAGCCATGCATGTACAGCTCCTATCGATTTCAATGGAGAAACACCAACATTTATGTAACTGTTTATCTAAATGAGGTTCGTATTTTAAATACAGAATAAAATCCAACAAAAACAGCATTATATATATTGTGCTTCTTTAGTTTAAATGTGCAAAAAGCTGTATTTTTCAAGCTGGTCTAGCAATGCACATGCACAACCAGTCGCTCAATATGCTAGTTAAATGAATTCAATGTACACTATCATTTGAAAGTTTGAGGTTGGTAAGATTTTTTTATGTTTTTAAAAGAAGTGCCTTTTGCTCACCAAGACTGCATTTATGTGATCCAAAATACAGTAAAAACAATAATATTGTGAAATATTATTCAAATTTAAAATAGCCGTTTTCTAATTGAATGCATTTTAAAATCAAATATATTTAAAATATATGAAATATATGTAAAAATTTTGTGTCACATTATGCTTTAGAAATCATTCTGATATGCTGATTTGATGCTCAAGAAACTTATATTTCTGCCTAATATTTCTGTGGAAACCGTGATGCACCAATTATGTTTTTTTTTTTTTCAGGTTTCTTTGATGAATACAATGTTCAAAAGAACAGCATTTGTTTGAAACAGAAATATTTTGTAGCACTATAAAAGTTTTTACTGTAACTTTTGATCGATTTTGCATCCTTGCTAAATACAAATATACATTTCTTCTTCTATTGACCCCACGCTTTTGAAAGGTAGTGTATGTTAGTTGAATGTGTAGTCTGGCAGGGACACCATTTTACTAAACACTGCATTAAAAAGCATTAGCACCTTCATTATTTTTCATACATTTTTAGAACTGTCAAAGATATCCTGTTAACCTAATGTGTTACCTTAAGAGATTAATTCAATATATTTTAGAGCATACTTTTTAACATAGTTAACACATTCTTCTGATGTTTTTTTTCCTGAATATTTTATTTATAGGCCTTTTTGCATTTATTATATAGGACAGGGAGGAAGAGAGAAATCAGAAGAACAGGATCAGAAAATAAACACACAGGCCGTATTTAAACCAGCATTCATGTGGCTCTTAAAGGTGCCATAGAATGCATTGATACAATAGTTTAAATTGTTCTGATATCTACATAGAAGGTATGTGACTTAGGTAAGGGCAACAAATCTCCAGAAATGTTTTTTCATGTCCATTTACAACCCTAGGATTTGTCCCTAGAATGAAATGTTCTGTTTTTACCTTTTTTTGGAAGGGTCGTGAATAATAATGTTGAGCTCTGCTCTGATTGGCTGTTTCACAGTACGGCTCAATGTTGAGCTCTGCTCTGATTGGCTGTTTCACAGTGCAGCTCATTTCAGTAGCTCACACAGCAGGAAGGAAACACAGGGAAAATATATATTTCAATACTGTCTCTCGCAGTTATATCGTTGGGTAATTATACTGTATATAAAATGCGGGCATCAGGGAGCCGCTATTAATATGCGGGGAATTGAAACTGAGTTCGAATGCACGATCGCGTTTTACTTTCACTTTCGAGATTTGCGATCGCACGTGCTCAGTGTAAACTACAGCAGCAGTACTTACTACACATTTCAGATCAGATGCTTGTCAGTGGTGCTCAGGATCTGTAAATCATTCGCCATCATCCTCAGTCATCTCTCCTTACTCTGTTTATGTGATGAGTGAAGTATGTACTGTAATGTAACAGGCTACCGCTAGCAAGCAGCTAACCATTGTACCTTTACTGGCTCGCGTTATTTTATTAGAACGTGCGTTATTTGTTTTCCGTGCCTTTCTTAATACAGAGACCAACCCATCAGTGCACATTACATCCCCTGCACAGCCTGGAACATGCCATTTATTTCCATGATCTGCCATTTTCACTATTATCCTCACTTGTTTCTTCACAATACCTGCAGAACTTCTGATGATTCGGCTTTGCAGGTTCAGCTGGCATAGAACATGGGCGGGTATATGCAAATGTTGTGGGGGCGTAACTATTAGTGATCCCGACTGTTACATCACAGTCGGTGTTATGTTCTGATTCGCCTATTTTTCAGTGGTCTTTTGCATGCACAAGATTTACGTTAAGGAGGAGGAAACAATGGTGTTTGAGGCTCACGGTATGTACAGAACTGTTATTATTCAACTATGCCAAGGTAAATACAGTTTTCCATTCTATGGCACCTTTAATTGAGCAAATGAGTACATCGGCTGAATTCAGAATATCATAAATTTATGCCATAATGTATGTGCCAGAAATAGTATGCTACATGCTCTCTATCCCTAGTGCCATTATATATCACTGTGTGACATTCTAACTGATTAATTCTCTTTTGTGCATGGTCTAAAAACAGGAATTAGAGAGTGGGCGTCTCTAAAACTAGAGCTGTCAAGCAATCACACATTTAATTTAATTATTTAAATGAAATGAAAATTAATTAATCAAATTTATTGCAATAATACATCTCTCATAAAAATCACAAATGAAGGTAATTTAAGATATCATTGTGGCAGAAAATATAAATAGACAAAAAGTTATTTTGACATCAATATCTACTGTTTTATTTTCATATCACTGAACTGATCTAGTACTTTGGTCCTGTAGTAGGAAAATCTCTTATTTTACAGGTGCATTAACGTTATTTTGATTATGTCGCCTCCTTTTTAACCAAGCAGTTCCAACATATAACCAATTACTTTAGCCTGGGAACAAAAAATTAACTATGCTGTTTTTTTTGTAAATCAAATACATACGGTACAGCACGAACATGCTATTCCAATTCCCGAACGAATTACTAAAGAAGAACTGAACAAGAATAAAAAAATAAAATAAACTTGGAGTGACCCATACTGCTTCTTTTAATTAAAATGAAGAAAAAAAAGGGGAGAAAAAAAATCGATTTAATGCTCTGGCTCTGCATTATCCAATTTTTAATAAGCCATTTGAAACTGCTTTTAGGCTAATTTTTAAGCACGACCAAGTGGGTCATGCCCGTTTTAATATTTTAATATTTGATATCGGTTCAGCAGGACTGGGCATTAATGAAGTTTTTACTTTATGATTTCTACTTGATACCTGCTACACTAAAACTTTATTACATATATTACAAACTTTATAAAGTTTTTTTTTTTTTTTGAAAAACTTTATAGAGGTAAAAATCCTGGGCGACCAGGGGTCAGTGTATTAAACTGCCCAATATAAGAGTAATTTAATGGTTTTCAAATTTGCAGAAATCCACAACCACAACAAATTTTAGACCAGTCTTATTTTTTTCTTTTCTTTTCTGTCACCCCATTAATCAGAACAGCCATTAAGTGCTGGTTAGTCTATGAAAGATGCTTTTTACTTCTCATATTGTAAACATGAAAACATAAATGCATTACCATTTCATCTTCAGATGCAAATCTCTTATATTCTTCATATTCAAGACAACAAACTCACTATAACCCATCAAAAAGTCAAGGATGTTGCATAGTTTGTTCACAACAAAATAGCCAATGAATTCAGAGTTTATTTGCTCTGAAAGAGAGCTCATGAAAAATAAATTAGACTAGACTAGACTAAGACTGAAACAGAACAGAGAACACTAGACAGAGAACACTAGACTAGAATAGAACATAACAGAGTAGACTAGTCTGAAACAATGTTATTTTAGTATTATTTATGTACTAGTATTTATTAATATTTTGAATGGGCTTTTATATTATTTTGTTTTAATTTGAAACTTTTAGTAATTTCGTTACATGCTTTTGCTTTTGTATTTTATTAGTTTCTTTTTAAATATTTATATTTAGCTTTCATTTATTTTGAGTAATTTTAGTACTTTAACTTATTTTATTTTGGCTATTTTTCCATCTAATATTTGTATTTTACTTTATTTAGGCTTCTTGTCAATTAACAAAAATAACTTTTGATAGATTTAGTTTTAGTTAACTAAAACAGATTAGATGACTAGACTAAAACAAACTTCTGTACACTAGATAGACTAGAGAATAAACAGCGTAGTGTACTAAAACAGATTAGAACAGACTAGATTTGACTAGACTAGGCAGGACTACAATAGAAGAAAGTTAAGTAGACTAGACTGTACTAGAATAGACAGAGTACACTAGACCAGAGAAGATCACGAGAATAGAACAAGTTCAGTGCATTAGAAAAACTAGAATAAAACTGTGCAGTGTAGTAGAATAGAATAGAACAGAGTGGACTAGACTAGATCAGATTAGACAAGACTACATTTGTACCAGACAAAAAACAGATTGGAACAGAACAGAGAATACTAGACTAGACTAGAGTATGATAGATCAGACTAGAACAGGAAATACCTGGTAGACTAGACTTGACTAGACCAGACCAGATTAGACAACTATAATAGAACAGAGTTTATAAGACTAGACTAGAATAGAACAGAACAGTAGAGTGGAGTATACTAGAGTAGACATGATCCTTCACAGAATAGAATAGAATAGAATAGAATAGTGGAACAGACTAGAGTAGACATGATCCTGAATAGAATAGAATAGAATAGAAGAGTGGAATAGACTAGAGTAGACATGATCCTGAATAGAATAGAATAGAGTAGTGGAGTGGAGTGGAGTGGAGTGGAGTAGATATGATCCTTCATATAATAGTAAAGTGGCGTAGAATAGAGTAGATAGACTAGACTAGAACATAACAGGGTAAACTGGACTAGACTAGATTAGACCAAACAACAATAATAAAACAAAGCTTAGTAGACTAGGCTAGACTAGACCAGAAAAGATTCAAATAAAATTAAGTCGCATAATAAAGTACAGCAGATTACAAAAATAGATTACAACAAAACAGAATACCTTAAACAGAACTGTAAAGTGGAGTAGACTAGAGCAGACAGACTAGATTAGACTGAATATTTGGTGTGTTCTGGAGCAGGGCTGGATTTGTGACTCACTTTGAGTGAAGCGAGGCGGGTTGTCATTGACGTCACTGAGGTGCACGGTGAGAGTGGTTGTCCCTGTCAGACCCCCTTGATGGCCACCCATGTCTCTTGCCTGGAGCACCACCTGGTACTGCGCCTGAGCTTCTCTGTCCATATCGGGGACCGCTGTTCGCAAGATACCTGCCGAGAGAGACAGAGACAGGAACAGATCACTCACAGCAAACCTCACTTTGCTTTGGCAATACTGAGCAATTTTCAAGCCAGTAAGGTAATTAGGTAAAACTGAAGTGAATTAAAAGGAATCACATTGAACATCCTATACCATCACACTGCTGTCCTGCCATGAGTTTCACTCACAAAAACTGGAGCAGAATACAGATCTGACTGCTTCTGATGGGTCCGACAAATATTACAGTAGATGGAACTGTCACTTGTTCTTACATGCCAGTGAAAATTGTACATTTATTGTACAACAATATGTATGCCTTGCACTTAAATCTTTGGTTTTCTATGATGTATTCAACACTGTTTTTGCTGCTCCTGCTGATTTGTGACCAAGATACTTTTATCTAGCTGGGAAACATAGCAAAAACGACATACTAATCTTCAAAGCATGAGTCAGAATGTGCTGAAAAACACAAGCCAATCAAAACTATTTTGCCTATGCCATCATTTTACAGCCAAAGTGTGTTTATGAATCTGTGGGGATAAGGATCAAAAGTTTGTTTGGTAAGATTTTAAAATGTTTTTATAAATTTTTTATGTTTTTGACTCACCACTTGAGTCTAGTAAAAAAAAATATTTAATTATTAATTATATATTTTTTTTGTTTACTCGCCAGACTGATAATTAGATTACAGACTGTAATTATAATTCAAACTTGATAACCATGTATGAATGCATATTAGTCATTGTAACTGAACTTAGGACTGGTGGTGGTGCTTTTTTGGTCATTCAGTGTTTCTGTAAAAAAAAAAACTGGGGAAAAAAACAATGATAAGATAATAATGATACGAATTCTACTAATAAGAACAATATAAAACTCACTAATGATTAATAAGCTGCTGGATTCATGAATATGAATCAGGTTGTGTGTGTTTTTACTCGAGCTGATTTGCTCAAATCAAAACAGGGACGAAAATAGGTGAGCGCCAACCAGTGAGATGATTCCTTTTGAATGAGATTGCCTTTTGCGCATTAATTCCGCCCACTACCGGAGAAAGTGACAGTTCTTAAAAGCTGAAGAATTCCAAAGAAACTGTTATTTTGACAGGAAAATACAACAAAGAATATAGTTTACATGTAGCTCATGTGTGTGAAACAAAGCAACGGCGAGTTGTGTGCCTTCACACTAGAGTTTACGGTACGTCAAATACAAATGCGCTGCACATCCATTCAGATTAACTGAAAAATAGCACAGATCGCTTGACGGAGAGTGAAACTCTGAAGCACTCACTCAGAGAGTGTTCGGCGAGTGAAAATATATCTGTGCTAATCTTATACTTAGCCTCCATATCACACACTGGCGAATATAAAATCGGAGAATTTATTAGCTATTGGCTAATATTAGACATCATTTAGTCGCCCAGAGTGAAGATTTAAGCCCCATTCACACTACAAGCGACACGCAACAGCAAAACGACACAATCCCATTCATTTCAATGGAGAGCTGGCGATTTCCGGCGACTCGAGCGATAGCAAGCGACAGCGACCGTTGGCGACCGGATGGGGACAAAAGTCGCTGCTAGTGTGAACGGGGCTTTAGGCTACACGAAACCAGAGCTTTCGCTATCCAATCATTTTTTCCCCTCGTCTCAAGAAATATCTGCGTCCACACGAAACCATGAAACCGACACAAAACAATGTAGTATACATGCCAGACCAGCATGTGGCGCTGTAATTCTGCCACAGAGATACACTAAAAACGGAGATGAAGGCTTGGACTATGCGCATAAACCTTGCACATGGTATAAAAATGAACATGGAACAATACATTTATTAATTTGTGTTATATGTTAATAAAAAGACAATCGTTCAGTGTTTGTTCATGTTTTTGTTGCTGTTACGTGATGTAGCGGTGTCTGACTAGGGGCGAGATGTGGGCTGACGTCATTGTTTCAGAAAATATATGGATTCGCTGTCCACACGAAAACGCAAGGGTGGCGTTTTCAGATTTATCCACTCTGGGACCCAAACGCCGAATCCGTGTGGACGAAACGCCTATACGATAAAAAAATGTATGCGTATACAGCTAAACGCATCTCCGTGTGGACAGGGCCTTAGTCGCATATGCGAGTGATTTACTCCAATGTAGAGGGTTGCCTTACTGATCCCACACTTTTGAATGGTAATGTGTGTGTGTGTGACACACACTTCAAATAAATATATATGAATAATATTTTCTTTTGTAAAGAAAACAACATTTTTAATGAACAAAACATTTTATAAAAAAAACACTCAATATTTAATATTTCTAGCAAATTAAAAAATATGTAAAATGGATCATTCTTTTGTGCTGAAACCTAGGAAAATATAGTAGCACAGAATCTAGTCAATATTCATAATCTTGAAATTAAAATAAATAACATAAAAAAAATACTGTAGAATTTAGTCATCAACTTCAGCATCCCAGTATAGAATAATACAGAATACAAAAGATGATGTAATCAGTTTTCATTATTTAGTAAATAGAATATAGTTGATAGTATTGAATAGTAAATATTCATTCATAGTCATTAGAATATAGTCAACAGAAGTGATTAGAAACTGTTCAAAGAACAAAAATTAATAAAAACTTTTGCAGAATGCCATAAACCAAATTCCTTTCAATTGTTTTAGAGTGAAAACATTATGTTTTTAAGTTTCATGATCATTTTTGATGATTTAAAATCATGATTTTTCAGAATTACACCACTTCTTGCTGTCCGAGTCCTTTCATTTCCTGGGGCTCTTATGAATTCACTTGTCCACTGCGATGATCGTGCCAGTTTCTGCAGCAACAAGACTGAGCTGTTGTGAGTTATTTTTTCAGACATCACTCAGCCTTATTCTTGCACTACGACAGATATGTTATGAGCTGAGTGCATGTGTTGCTGGACCACAGCCAAAAATACTTTTTTGTAAAGAAATAAACCTTTACTTTAGGGGGTTATGAAATGGAGAACCACAATGTTCTTGATACTTACAGAAGAGGTTACTTTACAGCAAAAAATAAAAATACTGCAAGTTTCAGAACTCAAAACTAATTCTGCAGTAAAAACATTAATTATTCTTTTCTACTCTGAAATTGTATTGCAAATAAAATAAGCACATACTGTACATGCAGAGCCTTTTGTAAAACGACAAGTAGTAATAGTACTTTTAAACTGATATACCGAAAATTAAGCAAGCAAAAGCAATTAACACACTGAAACAGACTGTTGCAATCGTTGTGGTTGCATTGCATTGTTCAATTTCTTCTGCCTCAGGCTCAAACATACACAGTTCTATCACAGCACTTGCCATCTCGAGTGTCAAAACACTTGACATGCTGTAAAAGAGGGGGCGTGGGTAAGATGTGATGAAGATAGCCAATCAAAGCTGTGGGTGTTTACTTTTGTTTCTGCAAGTGGTAACGTCCTTTGAAATTGAGTGTTTTTCACAGAGAGTGAAAATGAGGGTGGAAAAATGATAATTTTTTACAAATATTAGACCTGCTTTGGTGAAAAAAACGTTGCAAACTTTAGGCCAGATGTACTAAACAGGGTAAATTAGTGTGGTGCAATCCCATGAAACAGCCGATGGGAGTGGAAACTTCTGCTGGTGATCTACTGACAATGCGCAAATTAAAGAACACAGACGCAGCCAGCGCTTTTCAATGAGCAATGCAATCTGCCAAGAGCAGCGCACATAAGAGCAGGGTCGCAAACAAGAGCCGATGATAATCAGGTACATGCAATCTACTAACAACACAGGCGCAAATGGGTTAAAACATGCTTGGGCGTTAAATAATGGCACAAGTACCAGTAAACTGACTACCGCAAACCTAAGTAAATCACCTTGAATGATTCCTTTAAATACTCTGCTCCCATAAATTGAGTCTCAAAGGGACACTCCTACAAACGCATAGGCAATGTTAGCCGCAAAAATAACTGTCCACGCCTTTTCATCGCTAATGTTTCACTGCATGTCCCTACTTAAGTAGTGTTTAGTAAAGGTGCTCTATGTAATTTTTTGAATGTACTAAAGCATAAAAATATGTCTGCAGATATTTAGGAAACATGCGAAGTGCACATTCTTGTTTCTCAGAAAAACAATGCGACAGCCACTACTTTGAAATGTGCATTCCATGTCGGAATGTCCGTTTTTTGTTTTGGTCTGTGTGATTCCGCCCACTGCTAATTTACCCAATAGTATTCAACACCCCGGGTTGCCAGTTGGTGGAAAACACAGAGTATGGGGCCATTCACACAGAACGTGTATTTGCGTCTAAAAATTAATGTTTTTTTAAAGGGGTTCTATTATGCTTTTTCACTTTATCAACTTTAGTTAGTCTGTAATGTTGCTGTTTGAGCATAAAAAACATCTGCAAAGTTACAAAGCTCAAAGTCCAATTCAAACGGAGATATTTTATTTAACAGAAATCACTTTTCAAAAACTACAACGAACGACACGTTTGGACTACAAAGCATATTTTCCGGGATTTGTGATATTACAAAGATCGACGAATGGGACGAGACCTGGTTGAGCGGCTCTAGAGAAGGCAACGAGTGTTATCACTATGTCAGAGTATTAGTGTATTTACAGTGTAAGGCTCATCACCTTTCATTGTCAATTGTGCTCGTTCCTATTGCGTGTCCTCAATCTGGCAACCCGCGTGAGCGTCGAGTCTGAGGAGGAAGAGCGGGAGAAACTAATCTCTCCAATATTTTGAATTAGGACTGCAGTACCCATTTCAACCACTTGCTGTCAATATAACATATAACCTTTAAAGGCACAGTATGTAATTTTCACCGCTAGTGCGCACATATTCAAAAAAACAAAGAAACAAAGGCGCAGTTTGATGACGCCGTGATTGAGTGTGGAATCATGGGAGTTGTCGTCTTTATCCCCACAGCCGATATACAATCCGACGGGATTCGAGCTCTAATAATGTTCATGAGCTAATGTATTAAAGATTTATTACCATCACTGTAGTATGAAGCAGGGTGGGGCTGAAAGCCATGGAAGTGAAACGAGGCCGCAGGAGCGATTGCTAATGAGAGACGAGTGCGACACACAGTCGACCGTTTCATGTGTATGTGGGGTAAAAGCAATGCTGTTTTATCATACTAGATACACTTGAGTGTGTTGAAAGTTCTGTTATAATGCTACTCTGTGCGTTCGTCACACATAACATATTAAAGTGTCTTTGGTGTTTCCATGTTTTCCAAAATCGAAGGTGTATGAGATCATTGGCAGGCGACGCAAAGACATGGTCCATTATTCAATTCAATTAAATTCAAGTTTATTTGTATAGCACTTTTCACAATATAAATCATTGCAAAGCAGCTTTACAGGAAATTAAGTTTCAACAATATATTTAGTAGTAGCTTGTCAGTGGAGACTATGTCAAATTGATGTACATATACACTAGTTAAAATAGCTTAATTCTCTAGATTTAAACATTCTTGGAAACATTTGGGATAATGTAAAGGTGCATCTCAATAAATTAGAATGTCATGGGAAAAGTTCATTTATTTCAGTACACTCTTAAAAATAAAGGTGCTTCAAAAGGTTCTTCAAGCGATGCCATAGAAGAACCATTTTTGGTTCCACAAAGAACCATTCAGTCAAATATTCTTTAAAGAACCATCTCTTTCTTAGCTTTTTATAATCTGAAGAACCTTCTTTCGCCACAAAGAAGCTTTAAGGTTCTTCAGATGTTAAAGGCTCTTTATGGAACCATTTAGACAAAAAGGTTATTCTATGGCATCGTGAAGCACCTTTATTTTTAAGAGTGTAATTCAACTCAAATTGTGAAACTCGTGTATTAAATAAACTCAATGCACACAGACTGAAGTAGTTTAAGTCTTTGGTTCTTTTAATTGTGATGATTTTGACTCACATTTTAAAAAAAAACACCAATTCACTATCTCAACAAATTAGAATACTTCATAAGATGTAGGAAAAGAAGGAAAGAAGGCCAACACAAATTTCTTGGTAAACGGGTGCAGTGACGTTGGTTTTCAAAAAACACAATGGACCAACACCAGCAGATGACATCGCACCCCAAATCATCACAGACTGTGGAAACTTAACACTGGACTTCAAGCAACTTGGGCTATGAGCTTCTCCACCCTTCCTCCAGACTCTAGGACCTTGGTTTCCAAATACAAAACTTGCTCTCATCTGAAAAGAGGACTTTGGACCACTGGGCAACAGTCCCGTTCTTCTTCTCCTTAGCCCAGGTAAGATGCTGAGAAGTGGCTTAACAAGTGGCTTGTAAGAGTGTAAGAGTGGCTTAACAAGAGGAATACGACAATTGTAGCCAAATTCCTTGACACGTCTATGTGTGGTGGCTCTTGATGCCTTGACCCCAGCCTCAGTCCATTCCTTGTGAAGTTCACTCAAATTCTTGAATCGATTTTGCTTGACAATCCTCATAAGACTGCGGTTCTCTCGGTTGGTTGTGCATCTTTTTCTTCCACACTTTTTCCTTCCACTCAACTTTCTGTTAACATGCTTGGATACAGCACTCTGTGAACAGCCAGCTTCTTTGGCAATGAATGTTTGTGGCTTACCCTCCTTGTAAAGGGTGTCAATGATTGTCTTCTGGACAACTGTCAGATCAGCAGTCTTCCCCATGATTGTGTAGCCTAGTGAACCAAACTGAGAGACCATTTTGAAGGCTCAGGAAACCTTTGCAGGTGTTTTGAGTTGATTAGCTGATTGGCATGTCACCATATTCTAATTTGTTGAGATAGTGAATTGGTGGGTTTTTGTTAAATGTGAGCCAAAATCATCACAATTAAAATAACCAAAGACTTAAACTACTTCAGTCTGTGCGCATTTGAATTACTTTTGATAAATGAACTTTTCCACGACATTCTAATTTATTGAGATGCACCTATAAATACACAAGTCAGCAAAATATAAAACACTGTTGTGGTTTTTGGATACTTTAATCAAAAAATCTTACATATTGTGCCTTTGATGCCAAAAGAGGTTTTGAGCTGGTGCAAGCCAAGTAAAACAGACCTTTTATAAACTAACCTTGAGAGACATAATATAAAATAAAACAAATATTGCATTTCTAATCATAAAGAATAAAACCGAACACATACCTGACTGCGGGTCCACGGTGAAGTACTGCTGGCCTTGAATCACTGAATATACAAGTTTGGCACTATTCCCATACGTTGGATCATCAGCATCTGTGGCTGTCACTTGAATAACGGATGTGCCTAAGGAAAGCGAGAGAGAGAGAGAAATGAAATAAGAGGTAGTTTTGACAAAGTCAAGGTTCAATGAGCATGTAACCCTCTGTCTTTTCTTCCAAACACAGCTGACAGCAGTCAATACCGATGTTGGCCATCTCAGGCACGGTGGCACTGTACGGGCCGCCCTGGAACACAGGAGGGTTGTCGTTGATGTCTTGCACACGGATGATGAACTGGGATGAAGGCTCCAGGGCTCGGCCAGTCTGCCGGTCTGTTGCCGTGGCGATAAGGCGGTACTGGTCCTTTTCCTCACGGTCTAGGGGTTTGGTGACGTGGATGTTCCCTGTTCTGCTGTCAATAACGAACACCGAACCTGCCCCCTCACCTTTTAATATGTATTTGGTTCGTCCATCACCCCTGTCCACACTCGAATGAAGCTGGAGGAATGAATAAATAATAGAAAAACAAAATATGTAAGAAAATTCTCAAAATCATCAACAAATTCCATTTCTTAAAAGACTGTATGCACAGTATAAAAGGCACTCATAATGCTGTATGATATGTATTGTATTGCAATTACTTTTACTTTCTAAGATGGGTTATATAATGTAGTATGTTCTAATTATTTGGTTGAAGACTTCAGCTAATCAGTATGTTTTAGCACAAATAATTTAATTATGTTCAAACACATATTATTCCTGTCTGCTTAAAGAATTACCATATAAAGATGTAAGTGATTAATTAATATTTATATGATCTATTATTTTTTATATGTGCTCTCATTTGATATTAGGGGTGATTGAACATTCACTTGTATTAAATTAAATATTATAATCAAGTCTCTCTGTTACTGTTGGCACATATACCATTGAAAATTTTGATTAAATAATAATAATAATAATAATTTTAGTCAGCAAGGATGCATTAAATTCATCAAAAGTATCAACATGTATCATGGTTTCCATAAAAAAAAATGTTTTGAACATTGATAATCTAATATTTCTTAAGTAGCAATTCTGCATAACAGAAAAAGCTTTGCATCACAGGAATAACTTACATTTTAAAATATATTAAAATAAAAAATATTACCATTTTTACTGTATTTTTGATCAATTAAATGCAGCCTTGGTGAGCTTGAGAGACTTCTTTCAAAAACATAAAAAAATCTTACCAACCCCAAACTTTTAAACAAATTTCTTAAGCCACATACACATATATATTTCTTCTTATTCATAAATATTTGCAGCATACCTGAAATATAGCAGGCAGATCTAAAGTAGACTTTGAGATATGAAGAGCAATATTCCCTAAATTTATAATGCATTTTATACACATGCACCACAGAAGGTGTTACCAAAATCTAATGCTATTTTCTCACTTGGCTAATATTCTTCTCTGAAAACATCCTGTGAAGATAATGACTTAAGAGACCGACTGCTTCCATGTGAATAAATAACTCCATGAGGTAATGAGATGTGTTTGTAGTTTTCTGTAACTGAGATCCTCTAAGGCCAAACCACACAAATTTAATATCAGAGCATAAAAAATGATATCAGGGAAAACCATCCATAATAAACGAGTGGCTTCCTTGTTTTTTCAGCCAGTACTAATAAAAAAGCATTTGCCTTTTAATACTTTCCGACAAAGTCATAATTGCTCTGGTTGAGCTCTGGGCAGGCAGACTAATCCAGGATCACTGTGAAAGGCCACCTTTCACCAGGGGCTAAAAAGACCTCTGTATCCAGATATCCAGCATGCCTGATACGAGGCACTCCAGGTGTTTTTGGACTGATAGGGGGCTGATGATTGGCCGGGCAGAAAATGCATTAGCTCAGCCGACCAGTAAGGTCACAGGGGAACATGAACATAAATGTGCCAAATAAACCTGTAAAACCAAACATGCTTTGGCTACGAAGAACACAATAGAATACAAGCTGCAGTGTTCACTGCATACTGCAGTCTACTTTTAATTTAAATATGGAAACATAACCCAGCCTGTCATCCCTCCAAATAAATAATGAAAAAAGGAGTTATTTTGCATTTTTAATCCAGAAAATCGTTTTAACTCTTGGCAGTCTGATTAAATAATGACATAAAAAATCTTGGTTGATATTATTTGATATTATACACACACACACACATATATTTACCCGGAAAAAATACCTAAAATGCATAATGACTTCACTGAATCCTTTATTGAATAGGTGTATTTGTATAATCTGTACACACAAACCGATTCAATCACTACAATGAATCCGATTTTTCAACACTACATACAAAAGACATTTTTGATTGTTCTCTCCATTTGACTAGCAGAATGTGCAAACTTCAAAAGCAGTAGCAATTTAAAAATCAAACAAACAAATAAAATATAATTTCATATAAAGCCCACATTTAAAACTATCATTTTAATTTTTAAGTTGTGAATGAATGGTTATGAATTACTTGGTTTCTAGCTGGACCATTTACAGCCATTACCTGGTTTAAGATGGCTTCCAAAACTTACAAATAATGACTTGAATTACAAAAAAATTATAATTATTATTATCTTTTGGCTTATGGTTGCTGGACAATTTATGGTTATTACTTCAAATGAAATTAAATGAAATAATAACTTAAATTGATAAAATAAAAATAATTAATGGTCAATTACCGTACAAAAATGTATAGAAATAAATTAACATAAATAAAAATAAAACAATATAATTGCGACTTTTTATCTCACAATTCTGGCTTTTTCCTCAAATTGTGAGATATATAAAGTCAGAATTGAGTCTGACCTGACTTTTTTTCCCAGCAATTGTGAATTTATATCCCGCAATTCTGACTTTATATTTCGCAATTCTAATTTTATATCTCACAATTATCAAGATATACTGTCAGAATTGCGGGATATAAACTCGCAATTGCGAGTTATAAAGTCCAAATCTGAGGGGGAAAAAAGACTGATATTTGTGGATTTAGGAGTTTAATTAGGAGTTATAAAGTCAGAATTGGGAGATAAAAAGTCACAATTATTTTTTATTCAGTGGTGGAAACAGCCTTCCATATTATCTGGTTTAAGCTGTCTTCTAAAAAAAATAACAACATAACACATAAAACATAATGTAACGTAACGTAACATAACATAACATAACATAACATAACATAAATAATAAAATAAAGCTGAATTACTGTCACAGTATTGAACAAATGTAGTAGCACTGCTATGCTTAGTCTGACATTGCAGGCTACTTACAAAAAGCAGTAAACTATTGTACACTGAAGCTACTTAGGTGAGCAATATCTGTTTATCTGCACACTAGATGTAGTAAGAACAGTATGCTAGTATTGTGACATAACCATTCTCTGGATTTCCCCTTCACCTACACACACACACACACACACACACACAATGGCAGCCTACATGTCCATCTGTTTTTTTCCTCATCTTCTCCTCTCAGCTGTTTGCCTCTCACCCTCTTTGTCCATCTGTTTCACTCTCTCCCTCTCTCGGTCTTTCTGTTTGTCCATCTGGTTAACCCTCATCTAACACCCCTCTGATGTGTTTATCCTACCATCTTCCAGGCTTATGGAGCCCGCACGTTTTCGACAGCAAATATTCTGTCTTTGTCTGCATCTGTAAGTGTGTGTGAGGGAGGAGAGGGGAGTTTAACAGGAATTAAGTTATTATTTTAAGATGGGTCAGAGTGAGAGAGAGAAAGTGAGCTGACGGCCAGCTAGAGGGAGCTGAAGGGATTATTCATCCTTCAGTCGGGTCTTCTTATCTGTGTCTTGTTCTCACAGCTTTTTGGAGCAGTACTTTAGTACAGAAGGAGTGTGTGTGTGGTCAGAAGAAGGCTTTGCAGTGGTTTCCCATCCTCTGATTACACTAACGCTCGGCATGCTGGGAAACTGAAGTGGGTTGAGGGAGCTTGTGATTAAAGGAGCTCTTAGGTTCTTTCCTCCTGCGTCTAAAACCTCTTCCCCCTGCTTTTAGTATTAAAACAGTGACAACTTTCAGTCTTTTTCCTTTCTTTTTCAATTCTTTGTCTCTCTCCCAACCCATTTCTCTGTACTTTTTAGACTTTCACACTGCTTTTTAGACTCTCAACTACCAAGCCGTCAAACACACTCCCACATCCTCAGCACAAATATACAGCAAGTACAGACATACAATCGGCCCTGTGGTGCACATAAACTAGAAAATGTTAAAATGTTAAAAAACATTACCAATAAAAACAATACATACATGCAGTACATGTGCAAGCAAAACTCTATAGTGCTTTTTTGTAAATTTCTGGCTTAACTATTCTATTCTATTCTTCTTATTCATTATTCTTTAAGCTTTATTAGCCAGTTTTTTTCTTGCAGAAGTGTCAATGATTGTCTTCTGGACAACTGTCAGATCAGCAGTCTTCCCCATGATTGTGTAGCCTAGTGAACCAAACTGAGAGATCATTTTTAAGGCTCAGGAAACCTTTGCAGGTGTTTTGAGTTGATTAACTGATTGTCATGTCACCATATTCTAATTTGTGAATTGGTGGGTTTTTGTTAAATGTGAGCCAAAATCATCACAATTAAAAGAACCAAAGACTTAAACTACTTCAGTCTGTGTGCATTGAATTTAATACACGAGTTTCACAATTTCAGTTGAATTACTGAAATAAATGAACTTTTCCACAACATTCTAATTTATTGAGATGCACCTGTAAATATATACTGCAGAAATACATGCATTGCTGGACCCGTCTGGATTAAGCAATCTGTGCATTGATCATCCCTCATTATCATGTGCATTTTCCCTCATCACCACAAAAAAACCCAGCACTGTACCGCTGTGTATCTGACAGCATGTATATTTAAATCTATAAATTAGCTCTGAAAATACCATAATACCCACACTGATGCATTTGTATACGTCAGACCGGAGCTGTATATTCAGAGATGGCAGCGCTCAGCCGTAACAGAACACGAGTTCACAAGCTGTCAGAGTGTTTTAAATAAGTGAGGTAAGAACATGGATTCATAATCCCATATTAACACTCGTCCTTCAATGGAACACAACGCTCGCTGGAGGAACAGCCCTGCATTAACTCACACAGATGCTATGTTTGCAATGGACTTATTGCATACTATTAAAATAAAAAATTACTTTCGAATGGTAGTGTACATTACTAAGAAATCATATGGTTTATTTTTACAAACCACACTATTTTTCTGGCACAAAAACAATTAGGGTTTTTGAATGAATACAAACACACACACTCAAAAAAATCATTGCATACTGTAGGTTGACATTTAAGGAATGTTGTAAAAACTAAATTTTTTTTTTGTAATTTACATTAACCATCTGAACAAACTCTGAATTTCCTAAAGTGGCTTGAAAGGGAGACTTGAGGGAGAGCGTTTCATTATTTCCTCAACTCGACTGTAAAAGCTGTGTGCACAATACAAT